CGGATTCTAGGCTTGGGGGATCTGGGCGCCTACGGTATGGGTATTCCCGTGGGCAAATTGTCCCTTTACTCTGCTTTGGCTGGTGTCAACCCAAGACATTGCCTCCCCATTGTTCTTGACGTTGGGTCTGACAACCAGGATCTTCTTAATGTGAGTCATTTCGACTTCTTCAATAAAACATCGGCTAATGCGCCTTAAATTCGATTTGTTTTTAGTCTTTAATTATTAGTCTCCTTCTCGCCTTAATTTTTTTTTCAATTCGAGAAGAAGTGGTGGCAGAAGTACAGCGCATATGGGCTACAGGGGTGAATGGCATAGTCATGGCTAACCCTTCTCGTATTTCTTGTAGGACACCCATTACCTGGGTATTTCACACAAGCGCATTCGCGATGCGCGCTACGAAGAACTGCTGGATAACTTTATGCGTGCCATCGTTCGAAGGTAAACCGACTAGCCCAGTGTGCATTTTTTTTTGAAGGTATGGCAACAACTGCCTTGTACAGTTTGAGGATTTTGGAAATCGGAATGCGTATCGCATTCTCGAACGTTATCGGCATGATTATTGTACCTTTAATGATGATATTCAAGGTGAGTTTTACGCTAGTTGATTTGTTCAAATAAACTCCAGCAATGAATCCACTATTCTGCATAAAACAATGTATCGGCTAAGTTCTAAAATTCGCTGCTACTCTTTTAGCGTGTATCTGGGTTTTCGCACAATGCGTTTATTAATATTCTTCATTTTCAAGTTTTTTTTTTGTGGAAACCTAACAACTACGCTCCAATGACATGCCTACGGCGATAACGGATTCGACTTCAATTATTCGACTACTAAGGGGCAAAGCGATTGGTATAGTAATTCTATGCTCTCGAAGTGGGTTACGGGAAATCCACATTCCCTTTATTTCTGAGGGTGGATACATTTCGCGGTCCTTTTTTATTCGTCTCTCTGGCATCTTCACATCAGTGTTTAAAACTATTTTCCTTGACAAGATCCAGATGGATTGGATAACACTTATTCTTTCAGAATAATGTCGCACGACTTTTTGTTTGATATAGGGGTTATCGACAAAAGGATTTACGGAACGGTTTTTATCAAACTCTAATTAGGATTTCAACACGAAGCAAATAATTGTGGCACATATGAATAATTGTCTTGGCTACTTTAGTTTAAAACCATTAACAGTCTTCTCTGCTTCGTTTGCCGTCAGTTGCGTTATCTTCTAATTGACCTGCGTTGGACATGCCAATTGTCTCTATCTCACTGAGCGTATTGTTTAAGTTCTAAACAGTGTTGTGGATTGAGATGCGAATTAGTCTTGTGGTTTACGCATTCACAACCCGGAGAGTTAACCTAGACTCACTTTCCTGGCGTTGATTTCCTTGCGAAAGTACATGTTTATCCATTTATCTACAGGCACTGCTTCTGTAACTGTTGCTGGTCTGATTGCTGCTGGCCGCCTTACGGGTCGCCGGCTGTCGGATGATATTTACCTCTTTGTTGGCGCCGGTGAAGTAAGCAACGGGCCGTTCACACTAACGCATGAATAAGCCGCGCTATCACTGCTGCAAGGTCTCGCCTCATTATCTTTCTTTATTGCCTTAGGCCGCCAGTGGGATTGCTCATCTCCTTAAAACCGCTATGGTTATGCATGGAGTCCCAGAGGGCGATGCCATTAATAAAATATACATGTTTGACAAAGATGGTCTACTGGTGGAGGTGAGTCACGTGTTTGATTAAACTCGCCCAATTTGATCTGTTGGTAATTCTTTGGGCCAGGCGGTAGTGTACAGGTAAGGTTCTCTTACGGGCTCATCACTGTCTTTGGTGTTAAGATTTCTAGTTTTTTCGTCATTTATTTTGGACTGGGAACAATTGATCCTCCCATTACACTGCCGTTGGTGAACGATGCCTGTTTGTCAATTCACCCTCATGCTCTATTTTAGAGCAATTTAAGAATTGTTTTCCAGGAAATATGCTCATTAACTGCATAATCTGTCAATCCCAATGACATTTGCATTGTGCGTCAACGGGCTTGGTTTAGCGAGGTCATGGTTTTGTTACATCATGTCAAACCACAACAACCGCACGTCTTATTTCGGGTCACTACTGTCGGAACGTTACAAGCATCGCCTGCATCCGTGGTATGCATACATCCACTTTTCCAGTGTTACTCTTCTGACTAAGTACATTTCCGCCGATGAGGAATCTTGGAGCTGCCGAATTGACTTAAGTTTTTGACTTGGTGTGTCATGACATTGGAATTTCGAAATTAAAACTTAGCGGTTCAATAATTTAGTAGCCACTTTCTGTACCTGTTTCCTGTGACCGCCGTGTCGGCAGCTCTTGTCGTTAATACATTCAAATTCCCCTTACGGAAAAGTGACTCGGGTTGATAACGCTTCAACTTTGATGCCTTCACTAAGGCTACGCTCGTGGCAGGTAGGAGTCTAGCAACTGCTTAAGCAATTTCAAGCTTCGGTTTATGACTATTGGGAGATCAAGTTACCCACCAAGTAGTTCACCTTACGGTTGATTGTACGGTACTAGTTTCCTTTTTACAGAATCCGTCCTACTCTTCGCGCTATTACTGATTGAATTCTGATCCAAACAGGCCCTTGGTAATCTACCATGTTAGTTTTTACCCTATGGTGGATATCTGACCTCCCGTTTTTGACCCATATGCTCATTATTTGTATAATAAATATCGAGTGAAGACATCCTACCGAGCAGTTTACGATTTCTATTTCAGGGCCGTCCAGAGAATAATATTGACGAACACAACTGTACCTTTGCTCGCACTGACGTTGAACCGATGCGAAATCTTGAGGAGATTGTTCGCAAACTCAAGCCAACTGTTCTAATTGGTAAGTAGCGTATTTCGTGCTTTTTTCCGTCACTTGCCATTTGCATTTCGTGTTTTCCTTTCTACCCCGCAGGTGCATCTGGTGTGGGCGGTCTATTTACTCACCGCATTTTACAGCAGATGAGAAAGAACGTTGACCGCCCCATAATATTTGCCTTGAGCAACCCCACCGATAAAGCAGAGTGCACAGCCGAGGCTGCTTACAGTACCACTGGGGTAGGCGACTCAATGGAGTTTTAGTAGTTATAATACTAATTTTCAGGTCAAAAACACGTCATCCGAGCTAGAACATGTCGGGGGTTTAGATTTGCGAAACTTTATGCCTTTTGGTAATAGCTTGACATTGAGTTACTAATATCAATGCATAAACTTTGACAGGTAAGTTATTCCTTCCGATTGAATGAATTCTAAATCCTACCATCACAGTTGTACCCTCAACTGCTCTTTCCTGTAGTGCTACTTTCACCCATGACTGTGAGCGTGTTGACTCATCTCAGTTTTTTTCCTATATTAAAAGTATTGGGCTTTTCTGTGGTCGATGGCGGACATTTTTGTTTTTTTCCAAAGAGATTCGTCATTATGGTACATCAACTGCGTCCAATAAATATGTAAAACGG